ATTAAAAATTTAATATAAATTTTCGTTTTCAAATATTAATAAAATTTAGGTGCAAACTGTTAAATATCAATAAAATTAGAAAGAGAAAGAAATATAAAGATGTTTTTATAGTTTTTATTTGCATAGCAATTTTGGGTTTATTTACAAAGTAAGAAAAAATACTGCAAAGTGGAAATTTCAACAGCGATTTTTTAAGTGTTTCAAAAAGTTGATATTTTCCAATTTACCTTTCATTATTTGTTTAGCATTAAAGACAAAGGAAAAAAATACTGTGTAAATTATCGGAAATTTGTTTTTATATTTGTCATAAAAATTGATAGCTAAATTGATCGATTTTAATTTTAATAGCTAAATTGATCGATTTCAATTTTACCCTAATTATGTAGATTTGTATATAATAATGAAACCAAAATGGCAAATATACGAAATCATTAATTACGTAATCAAACAATTAATTTATTTTTCTCATAAAATTGTCTAATTAATTTCTCGTTGTTATTGCCGAAATATCCCGAAATAGTTATTTAGAAATTTTGAAGTTACGCTAATTTCAAAATTATTTTATAGATAATATTTTCATAAGATTTATATGTTTTAAGATTACTTCCAAATTGGAATGTTAAAAGTATTCGAAACAGCTGATGAATTGAAGGAAGCCGAACTATTAACCAGTGATTCGGTTTTTCTTCTACCGATACATTATTCCATACGGCATGAACGTTTGGGTGTTTTTCCGGAAGCAAAATGTACAATATTGGGATATCCGAAAAAGAAGCCATACATATGGATGGTGATACGACGCAACAAGTTTACAAGGTTATTTTGTCGGGGAAAAGTATAATTGAATTTATTAAAAAGTTGTTAAAAAATTTTTTAGAGTTCCGCTCTTTTGTTTTACCGACAAATGAAAACAATTAGAGAATTTCAGTTTTATTATTTTATAATTTCTTTAAATAGTAATATGATTTCTTTTATTTTTGCAGCATACCTATTTGTATTTTTTTACCTGCATTACGTGTTGTTTTTCTTTTTAAACTGTATTAGCTATTATATTTTACCTGTATTTATTTTACCTGTATTTTTGTCGTTATCAATTTTTTTGCCAGCTTTTTTTTTTTGATCAAATAAACATAACACACGCATACACACATACATATAATACATACACATATATACGTAGGGTTTCCAAAAATCATGTTTGTTCGAATAGGCGTTTGATTTTAGTGAAGAAAATGGGAAGAGCGGAAAAATCAAAGGAGAAAGGTGAAGTATATGAATTCCTGAAAATGGTGGATGATGATGATGATGATGATGATGTAGGAGCAGAATATTGAAGGAGTGATGAGTTGAAAGGATATCGAGGAGGAAAAGAAGGAGGAAGGATGGTGTACAGGTGAGCTTGCTTTAGGGCACACGTGTTCGTATGCAGTCGTACGCAACGTTTTATCAACGTCGACGATATCGACGCGTTCATGATTCACACTATACCGCATCTTCTCAAATTAGAACAATTTGCTGCACGAATTCTTGGCGTACAGTTGAGCAGGTTTTCATTGTTTTTTTAAAATTTCTTTCTCTGTATCAAATATTTCGTATCAGTAATTATATATCATTGATGATTAATATAGCTTATCATTTAAGTTATATGATAATCTCTTACGAATATGATTATTTAATTTTTCTCAAAATTTTTTATAATGATTAAAAATGATTTATTAAATTTTCTTTTCCTTTATAAAATATTTCTTATCAGTAATTATATATCATTGATGATTAATATAGCTTATCATTTAGGTTATATGATAATCTTTTGTGATTTTGATTATATAATTTTTCTCAATAATTTTTTATAATGGTTAAAAATGATTTATTAAATTTACGTTCGGAATCAGAAATCGTTATTGATTTCTAAAATTTAATTAATTAAAAATTTCAAAATTTTTAATTTTGTTTTCCAAAAATTTTAGTATATATTATTGTATTGATTTTAGTCGAATGATTGAATTGCTTTCAACTCATTTTGATTTCTCAGCTCCAAGCTATCTGTCCAGTTATTTCATCATCGATAAACATAAACAAAGGCAAATTATCGGTATGGATATTAAACTTGCTGAGGGTTACTCATTTTTGGAACTCGATCCAAAGGTTTGAAACGTTTTTAAATATTTTGATCAATGCTAAATTCATGATATTTTGGTTAAATTCTAGTTTATGATATTTGAATTAAATCAAAGTTAAGTTTGATCAATGAAACTTCTACAATCGTATTGCTAACGATCCTTTTTTTTTTCTAGCAACATGCTGATATAATAGCAAGTTGTTGGAAATTTTCGACATATGGTGAACGTGATCAGTTTGAAGCAAAGATTCGACGCTTACCATCGGTTGGTGTCCAAAATCATGATGGAACGTTAGTATCATTTACCGTTTTGGATGCTTCCGGATTCTTTAATAATCAATTTACATTTGAGGAGCATCGTCAACGTGGATTAGCTGATCGAAGTGAACTGAAATTATGCCAGAAAGTTTGTTATTTCTGAAATTAAATTCATCTGATTAAATGTTTTATTGACCATTACAGTGATTTGATTAATTATGTAATTTATCGATAATTATTATGCTTAGTGTTAATTTTAACTATCATGGAAAAGTCTAATTAAATTTTATGGAAATTTCATCGAACTCCCATTTTCCAACTTATGAATATTTCAATGTAAATAAATTTAAATGCCCAAAAATACCCGATTTCATTAATTGTTATTTTCCAGTTTTTCCTAATTTAATTCAAGTGAAAATTAGTAGTATTTTTGATAAATTGAATGTTTTTATTCCAATTTCAGGTAATATCATTTGGTCTGTATCCGATAAAATTTGTAGAGCATGAAAATACGGCAGTTCTTGATCGTTCTTGCCGATCACAATGGTGGAGTACTGTAAATGATGAAGCTGGCATTCCAGTTGTCAATGATCATCGTGCTGTCTATCGACGAATATCATCACATTTGTAAGGCAGCTAAATTTTTATGAAATGCTTTTCCACAGTATCATACTGATAAAATATATGAAAATTTCACTAAACGATAAATTTCAAATCACATGCACACACACAACATGTAAATGTGAATATTTCTAATTCATATTATAAATTAAAAATCATTTATCATTCGTATTGTTTTATTGTGATAAAATTATTATCATATAATTAATATCAAAATATGGAGAAAATATACTATTTTTCATTTATTCATTTTGAATGAAATAATATTCAAATGCATTAATGTATATTTAGATTTTCTGCAAAATATTATCACACACTCTTTCATCAAATTCTTTACAATTAATTTTCTTAATTTCATTTATTCAAAAATAAAATTAGCACTAATTTTTTTGATATTAATTACAGATAAAAAGCTTACTGTATTTCTTACTGTATTTAAATAGTAAAACTATTTTGTTATGTTGTAATATGCAGAAAATTATCGTTATTTATTTAAATTAGTCATTTAAAATTCTGTTGCATTTAATGGCTGTTTTTTTCCGTTGTACACTGTTAATTACATTTTCTTGAATTTTGTTAATATCTCAATAATAAGCCGTCATTTAACGTAAAAAGCAATTTCACAAACGAATAATTATTCTTATAACTTTCCTAAAATATCTAACATTTAAAGATGGCATTATTGATTGATTACATTTTCTTTAATTTTCATTCCTTATTTATATATAAAAATAATATTGATGAAAGTATGAAATTCATTAATTCAATTGTTACATTAATATACGGATATTTGTGACACTTTTTAATTCTACGGATACTTACGATACTTTGCGAAATCAAATCCTATCTTTGCTTGTTTTAGGCTATTTTATTAATTGTTTTTCTTCTCCTTTCTTTTTTTCAAATTTTTGCAAAGAACTTTTTATTTGTTTTTGAAATTTCTAAAAATTAAATTAATTAAAATTTTTGCAGCTATATATTTCAATCAAACATATTATCGTTATGTATGATACTGTATCAAAAGTAAATAATGATATTGTGATTGATCTGAATGGTCTTAATCAGTTAGGCTAATTCAATTTTCAAATTTAGCTCATACATATATATATATATATATATAATGTGTTATATATTTGCTTTTGGTAATATGATATTTTGCTGCTATTTTATTTGATAAAATTTATTATTAATTATTTGGCCACAATGCACACAATGTAATTTTCATAAAATTCACAACATTGTATAGTATTAGAATAGTTATCTTCCCTATCATTTTTTTCTGCTAAAATTTATCAGTGTAGCTGATAAGATAAAATCTTCAATATCGCAATTTATTAAATGGATATGAAAATATTTATCGTATTACAACATTATATGGTATTAAAATAATTATCTTCTCGATCTTTTTTTCTGCCGAAATTTATCAGAGATGGCTGATAAGATAAAATCTTCAATATCACAATTTATTAAAAAGTGCAAAAATATCGTATTAATTTTAATTCGTTGTAATAATAATAGTATTGTAATATTGCTAGTAAAATAATAAACGATTATAAATTAAGTAAGATCCTTTTTAATTCTTTCAATAATATTTCAACAAAATTAAATCTTCTCTGTTTATCTTTTAAACATTTTATTTTGCGTAATTTTTTGTAAAATTTGCGAAGGTCATTAGAATTGCGAAATGATGATGCTACGACAAGTTTCGATCGACCATATTGATCACATTCCCATTGATTTGGTAAGCTCTTAAAAAAAAGTGATCCTTAAAAATGTGATCTTTAAAAAGTGATCTGCGATTCTTTCTTTCATGATTTTACGGAATGATCATAAATTCCGGATAAATTTTTTACCATATATTTTTTACCATAGCAGGATATTCTTTACTTCATTCAATACATTGATTTTACTGTGATCAATCACTTTCAAAACCGTATCGTGTTTTCTTCACCTTTTCAAAATGAAATATTGAAATGAAAATGTTGCTTCATCATCATTTTTTTTATACCTGAATATTATCTGCGGAATACATGAAATTGATATTAATCCGTTTAACACCTGCAATTTCAGCAACAACACCGGTATAAAAGATATCTTCTAATCTTAACCATATAACTATCGGTAATGTTCGCCATATTTTCCGGAATGCTTCTAATGGTATGATATACATCATACCGGGCGCAAATGGTGGATAGAAATCATGCGGATAACGTTTATAAGGCATATAACTAAAAAAAAAAACCATTTGTTAAAGTAATTAAATATTATAAAACTTAATTACTCTTAAAACAAACAATGCAAACAAAACTTTTCCTTTATCTTATCATGCAAAAAAAAGTAGTAATATTAATAGTAAAGAATTAATAATCCTTAATTACAAATATTAATAATAATTAATTTTCTTTTGATTTTAACAAAAATAAAAATGAAACAAAAAATGTTGCACTATTTATCCATTCGTCGCCTAATGACACGATCATTGTAACGTATAGCTCCATAAATATGAGCTAAATTTGAAAATGAATTAGCTTGCTGATCGAGGCGATCCAAATCGATCACAACATCATCATCTACTTTGATATAATATCTCACATATTTACAGTACGCTTGCTTGAAATACATCGCTGTATAAACCTAATTAAATTAAATTTTTTAGGTAAATTTGAAAGATAAAATTATTTGCAAAAATTTTATTCAAAAAAAAGGCGAAGAAAAAAACAAATAATAAAATAGCCTAAAATAAGTAATGATGAATTCATGATTTAATTTAACTTTAAAACTTTAACTTAAACTTTCGTAACTTAAACTAGTAACTTTAACTTTAACTTAAACTAATAACTTTAACTTTAACTTAAACTAATAACTTTAACTTTAACTTAAACTAATAACTTTAACTTTAACTTAAACTAATAACTTAAACTTAAGCTTAAACATTAACTTTAATTTTAATTTAACTTTAAAACTTTAACTTTAACTTTTTTTAATTTAATTCTTAATTCATGATTTAATTTAACCTTTAATGTAAGTGTATCATACGTATCCATAAGTGATGTAACAATTAAATCATTGAATTTCATACTCTCGTTAATAAGGAAAAAATAAATAATAAAATAACCTAAAATAAGTAACGATGAATTTGATTTAATTTAAACCTTAAATGTAAGAGTATCATACGTATCCGTAAGTGATGTAACAATTAAATCATTGTATTTCATACTCTCGTCAATAATTTTCATCATTATCGTACTATCATCATATTTTATACCAACCAGAAAGTATGCAACAATAAATCCATTCTATAAAAATGGATTACGATAAGATTTGAAATTAATTTTAAATGAAAGCAAAATTTCCATCTAAAAAAGATTTAATTTTTTTTTTTTGTAATTATGAATTTTTTATTGTTTTATAAAATTAACAGATAGTGAGAAATTTAATGAATATTTCATATAATATACAATTAATTTTCTCACATCACATAATTTACAAAATGTGAAATTTCTACATTAACAAAGTATGTCGTAAATTATTAAGTAGCTATGAAGCATTTTAAAAATTTGTAAATTAAGCGATCAATTTTATTATCCATAAATTTTCCATACTTTTTAAATTGTAGCTTCCGCTTTAGAAGACATTTAACTTATTCCACTTTGACAAATTATTTCCTATTATTGAATAGCTCTTTTAGTTTCAGAAATAACATACCCTTAAAATATTTGCATTCTTAGAATTAAGCCATGTATCACGGATTGCATTACGGATACTAAACGATTCTGTTCTTGAAATGATTACAATCAAATATTTTGATCCTTCTAAAGTAATGAAAATGAAAAAAATTCTATTATTCATAATAATTGCAGTATGTTAATTAAATTAGATATTTATCATCATAATTAATATCTTGATTAAGTCAAATATTATGAATATTATTATTATTTCTTTCAATTATTATTATGATCACAATTATCCTTATTACCATGATTATAAATATTCTCTATTATTTATTACTATGATTATAAATATTCTCTTAGCTTATTATTATTAGTATTTAAAATTATATATCATTATTATTTCTTAAACAATCATAACACTCAAATGCTCTCGACTTTTTTGAAAATTTATAAATTATAAAAAAGTGAAGAAATTTTTCAAAAATTATTGAGAGAAGATAAAATTGAAAAATGAGTAATTTATTTTTCCAAATGATATCTATTGCTTGAAAAATTTTTGACTATCGACTTAATGTAAATTGTGATGATACACACGTATCACACGTAAAAGTATAAAATACAATTTACTTTTTCAAATAATATCCATTGTTTGAAAAAATTTTTGGTTATCGGCTTGATGTAAATTGTGATGATACGCACGTATTACACGTAAAGTATAAAGTACAAACATAAAGTACGAAGTATACGCATAAAGTACAAACTTTTGCATGCTTCAACGTTAGGAAGAATTAGTAGCGATGATTTAATCGTTTCATCCATAAATTTTATCGTGAAATTTTCGCTGCCATTAATATAAGACCAAAATTCACGTAAATCACGTAAGTGATCATTTTTGATAGATATTTGATAGAGCAAAACTATAAACAACGCTAAAATTGAATTTATAAAATGCATGAAGATATTATAAATTTTGTTTATCATATTGATAAAGTTATTTCTTCAAATCCTACAACTAACTATATCATTCATTTAAATTCTCTAATAAATTTGAAAAATCGTAAATTTTCATATTTCGCATATTAGTGCATTATTATAATAAGCTTATCGATTTGGTATGAAAATAATATCTCATTTACTTATGCTCAATTAATAATTTAGATCACATAATTTCTTGGCTAGCTAACATTTCTGTTGAGAGTAGCCAACGACTACATTATCATATCAACGATTACATTATCATATCATATCATTATATGATATGTTTTTATGATATATGATAATGTATAATGTATGATAATGATAATGTATAGTGTATGATAATGTATGATAATTTTTATGATATATGATAATGGATAATGTTTTTATGATATATGATATATGATAATGATAATGTATCATATCATTATATGGTATGATGGAATAGTTTATTTCCGTGAGATCTTTTTTCTTTCTTTAAAGCTTAATTTATATTCGATTATCATATCATATAATAGAGTTTTCGTGAGATCATTTCTTCTTTCTTCAAAACTTAATTTTTATTCGATTTAGAATTTGTTTAAATTCTTAAATTTCAGCTTTTATTAAAGCTATTTAAAAATTTACGAATAATTTTTTCATTTCAACATTTTTGTTGAAATAACATAAAGCAAATGTAAATTCAGTAAGCCTTAATTATTTTAAATTTGCATCGAAATTTATTTAAGCATTATTATTTAATTAATTAATAGCATAATATCTTCTTTCGAAATTTGAAATTCAAATACAAAAAATTTTTCTAAGGAACTTTTAAACAATACTGAAATGAAACCTCCGATAATGCAAATGCTGAAAATATTCACTTTCTTCCTCCATCGCCCTTTACAATAAAAAATTTTGCAGTATAAGCAATTCAACCGCTTTCTAAACATTCTATCAGCAAAATAATGAAATGTAATTCAAATTTTATACACTATTCATGCATTATTAACTTACCATGCATGCATTATTATCTTGCTATGCATGCATTGTTATTTTATAGCATTATACATTGCTTATTTGTCTTGCGTTATTATCCCATTAGAACAATCTATTATTGCTTGTTTTAACCAAATCTTTATCACATGCTTTTTGCAATTATACAATTTACTTCAATCATTTTGTATCCTGCATTACCATTAGGCCTTATATCTTGCGTTACAACATACCTCGCAATGTATCTTGCATTAATTCATATCATTTTATAGTTTGTTTTAGGATGAAATTGACAACTCTCCAATAACCAATTTTCGCTTTGCTTTGTTTTAGTAGTAAATTGAATCTTTCTACTATCTTTTTCTTTTCATTATCAAATTTATTCATTTTAAATTCTGAATAATTTATTTATCATTTCAAATTTTTCAAAAAATTTTTTGAAGTTTTTTGATAAGATTTAACAAACAAAGATTACTTAATTTGTGAAGATCAATTTGAAAGCTCTCACATGATCAAAAGAATGATGAAATCTTCGGTGCATTTGCATATTTGCACGAATAATTTTTTTGCGACATCACGTAGGAAGAGAATATTATACATTCGTCAACTAATCTAATATCAATATTTATTATATTTTTTTAAATAGCTTTTTTGAACTTTTCTTTTGAATAAAGAAATATTTCTCGAAGAAGGAATTTGCCACAATCTTTACGTTTGGCATACGTGAAATATAGCATTATGAACTTATTTTTAGGTAAATTGGAATCAATTCATTATGTTATGAATATTTCGCAATTGTTGAATAATAATTGTTCAATTTTAATCGTTATGTGTTTTTTTTGTAAATTATAAATATTTTGATAAATTTGCGAAATTAGCAGAATGCTTCCATTCGGTGAAGAAGATCTGAAACTTCCGGAGGATATATTTGACATTCTTCGACATTTGAAAAAGAAATCTGTAATGCATGGGTGCATTACAGGAATCTATGACGGCAATGCAGTAGATAATTGTCGGAAATCGAAATAATTAAAAATAATTTTCATGCCAAAATAATAACAGTAATTTATGTTACTGAAATATTTCCAATTCATAATTAAAGGTTGATTAAATTTCACAGGTAAAAATTAAATAGATTATCTGTGATTATTTGAAACAAAAAAAGATTCTATTTTGGTTTATCGATTTGCTGCTCAATTTTGTAACTGTTTTATCAATCTTAGTATTAAATACACTATTATCAAAAGGATCTATTACCCGAATATATAGGTAAAATAACATCATTCACATTTTCTCATTGTTTCCAAATGAACGATTCGGCATGCGGTAATCGGAGCGCAAATGTTTCCACATCCAAAATACGAATTGATACCATCGTTGCTTTGCTTAGATCCTGAGAATTATAATTCTACAGAAAAATTAGATGTGACCTTCTTAGAATTACGTTCCTATTGCTTGCCTTGTTGTCACATAACACGTAAAATTTTCATTACGACGCACGTGAAATCTTGTATTTAAAATTAAATGATTAGATTCTTATGAAGTAACCGTGAAAACCTTATTTCGAACCATAATTGCTCGATCGCCATCTAACA